TACAAGCATTTGGTCGGCCCATAAGCAATGGCGTTTTTTTCCCCATTCAAAATGTCGCGCTGAAGAAGAAAAGTTTGGCCATCGAATTTTATAAGGTTTTGCAGAAAATTCCTTGCCCTACACGACGGTCTTCCTAGTTTTCTTCAAGTTCCTCTTTCCACTAATATTTAAATGCTCAAACTGAAGTGTCAGGTCGACGAAATTGAGCATTTTCGACAGCCTCTCTTTTATACCTCTAATTAAAAAGCTAAAACCGCATGGGCCCAGCTGCTAAGTATATGGCTGAAAGGCTATGTCTCTTAGGAATGCTAATAATACTTTAAGTGATTCGAAGATTTCAGTTTCGACCTCACAGACAAGCATCGAACCTAATGCCCTATTCTGTCCAACTGAGAGCTTACGGAATTACCTTATTCACGGAGATTCATGCCAAAGATTGAGGAATCGTTAGAGGTCATGGAATGCTTCCTTATCATTATCAACCACCACCCACAGTTGATGTTAGACGTTCGAAAATAAGTGGGTAGGTTCTGTAGGCAGTCCCTCCCCAAGAGGGTCCCGACTCGATGCTCTTAAGATTCTAATTCCCACCTCTTGATCGTTTGAACCAACCTCGAGCTGACATAAGACGCACGTTTCTCTGACCAGATTTATCACTCTGAGCTTCTTCTGTAGATTGAGAGCCGAGACGAAATTCAAAAAGTGGTTGTCGGAAAGTCACTTTCGGCCCGAACTTCCCTTTCAACGAAATAAAAATCTGCACAAGTCGAGAAATAGTAAGAAGGCAATTATACTATCTTATAGTGCGGAAAATTATCTATCAAACAGTGTAGAACATATTGGGAACAATTGTCATTTTCCATATAAAAATTTGTGTGAAAAAACGCCATTACTTATGGGCCAACATAATAGTTAGGGTCCATACAAGGATCACGAAAATGGGCTTCATTTTTGCTATGCGTTTCTGGGAATTGTCATTAGCGGCAAAGTGAGCTTTTCACTGACGCGCCGAAGTATTGCCTATTCCTTGCTTTTTGGTAAATTTTTTACCGCCTTTTCTAATTGTGTCGAATTATGACTCGACTCATTTTTAGACTTTTCCTGTGAGAATCGAACGGATAAGTGTTGCCTGACGTGCTAACATCAACTACATCCCACGATTCCAGAAACCCTGGCCCAAAGACGAAATGTACACTCACTTCCGAGGGCGGTCCTTGCCATGGGAGGTGGGTGGACCGCAGCTGCGGTAAGTGCCACTTTCTCCACTCGAATGTGCTGGAGAGAAGCAATGCTCAGGTACTGTCCCATATTCCGCCCGCGCTGCCGCACGTCCAGCTACATGTCTAACCGTAACCGAACGAGCTACTTGTCAGCGCCCTCTCACTTCTCATTGTTCTTTAGCGCTGAGTGTGTGTTTCGCTACATGATCTTGCTTTCGAGGCAAGTGCTGCACATTGAGGATAGCGCGGGCGTGGTATGGAGACGCTTCAAGGGCATCAGTATCCTCCCGTTCCGTACTCGCACAGATCAGAAAAAGTGGCGCGGTCCTGTAGCGGCGAACGCATTGACCTTGCACATGGAAAGGACGGTCTACGGACAGCTATTATAACTCAGTCCCTTTAATAGCGCCAATTTTCTGTTTCTCTCAGCGCCCTCACGTCTGCGCGGTGTTCTGCGACCACTTTGACCTTTCACATTCCAGCTTTTCACGCATAATAAGTGGCCTAATCACCCCAGTGTCTCGCCCATCATAAAAGTATATCTCCTGGCTCGCGAACTGTTTTCTGTCCCTCTCAATGCTTTCATAGCCGCAGTTCCTTCTTTCTTTGCGCTCAGGCCTTTCGCAGCAGGACCTCCCATGGGCGCTCGTAGTGGGGAAGCATGCTCGACCGATTACCAGCTTCGGAACCATGCAAGTTAGCTGAGTTTATCTTTATTAACATAAAGTTGGGCAGGTAAATGACTTTCACATTTATAGTCTGTTATTATGATACGATAGCAAGGCACATTGCGACTATAAGACACATACATATTTGAAGAAAAAATGCACTATGTGAGGACAACAGAGAGCGAATGAGAAGGTAACACGACGATGCAGGTCTGGAAGGATGAGGGCATCGCCGTTAGGAAGGTGTTGAGGCCGCGGTCCTCGAGCCTTGTAGCTGGTCTTCTTTTCGGCGAACTGTTGCTCCGCCCTGAAAAGGCATGAGTCATCATGGAGCAGTGGAAACCGCACTTACAACTCCCTCCTTTATTTAAAGTCCGTCCCAGACTTTCAAGAAGCAAAAGAAGTGCTCACCTAGGCGGAGGGACTACTCACGGGAACACCACTCCTGATGAGCGGCGGGCACTACGGCAATTACGCTGGAGGCCCAATCCATGACGCGTTTCCAAGACCGGACGATGAGCGACGAGGTCTCCCAATATAAACTGTCCATGGTGACAGCGTGGAATGGCGACGTTCTTGCGGCAGTAATCATCGGAAAAACCGGCTAAGTCGGGGCAAAGTTATGCAGTACGGGTTGTTCACAGGATCACTACCTCTTTTTCTCGCCCTTGGACCGCTCACAGCTTCACCTGAAGCGTATCCAGCTTGTGCTGGAGGTGCAGAGACTGCTCTTGTAGAAGGAAATAAACACAGCCATGAGGGGCGGAGGTGGTTGGCGAGCAGGGGCTTGATGAGGTGAACGCAGACTTTGCCCTCATTAATGTTAAACTGAGAACTGCTCACCACCTTGGTGAAAGGCCCCTTAACACGTTGAGAATGGGGCGTTTTAAAATATCAATAACGAATCTGTGTGATTGGCCAGCCGGCAAAATAAGAGACGACCGCCCTAGAACGGTATTCAATCAATACATACCAACCTCTCGACCCACTAACAAAGTGAATGGCCCAAAAAATTCTGCTAACACACATTCACCATCGACTAAGCAACGGATGAAATCGGAAATCGAACCAGTTATGAGAACATAGAAATAACAACAAAACGACTAAGAAGCGATGGCTATACACCAGCCTAAGTAACTCAGCCCTTCCATGGAACAAATATCTTTACCTTTTCGCGGATCCCTTCAAACTCCTTGTCTCTAGACGATGCGAGCCCTGTCGCTTACTTCTCCTAATCGTCGATTTCGCTGAGCAGCCACGACGGAACTTCTATGCTTATTCTTCCATTTCCCTGAAATGGGCACTACTATTTCCGGACTATTTCTTCTCTGCAACTTGGTACCATCCACAAACGAGTGTCTTTGAACAATCG